AGACAGGGAAGACACACACGCGAACACCTGCGCAAAGATTCCAGCAAAGGAATGGTAGATAGCCGGGGGGAGTGTGGAGGTTAATCAGATGCTAGGTGCTAGTGTATAGAAGATGGCTTACGGTAGAGTATTGAGGTTCAATTGTAAATAATCCTAAAGGGACTAGGAAGCGTAGAAATTTACGGCTTAAAGCCCTTTGATCTGGACAGCTACAGGGCACACCCAATTCCGCCTGAAAACTACCAAAAAATTGCAAGGCTGTCCCGGACCCGACTTTGAAAAACCAGATTTAAGCGTGTTGTGGCACGCCACGCAATTGTCTAGAACTAGTCGATGGCAAGGGTCGATTCTTTGGCTTCATGGTCTCTTTAGGGGGGTAAAAAACTGAAGAAACCGAATTTTGAGGCTGGTATAAGTTCTTGTAGATACCAAATCGTCTCATCTGGTCATTGCGGCATTTGACCCCTTGGTTATCTTTTGCAAGGCAGGGGTAGCTAGCAAGGCTTCGTTTCGGAATTTTCGCCAAACTTTTGATTTTGACTGCTTTTCTAGACTTAGGTAATTCCAAGATCGACTTCTGCGTTTCCTAGTCTTTTAAAACCACTCTACCCCCATCGGCTTCACCTCTCGTTAATTCATCCCATCCCGATTGGCTTAATTAATCACGGTAGGTTCGAAACGGCAAGGCGAGACACCCCCGTTCATTTCGACATCTGGTGTCCCGGGTGGTGGAACCCCTGGGGCCACAAATCCTCATCCCACCCTTAGGGCCTCCACCTATCACAGTCACGTCGTAATACGAGTGGACATGTTGGTCCACTTGAGAGAAGTCGTCCAGAGTGGGGGTATCTGTTAATATATCCGGTACTTGGGTGACTTCTGGCTACAAGGAGGTGGACTGACCCCTAAATAAGGGCCTGTCTCTGTTGATCGGCTGTGGCAAAATTTGCCAGGTGTCGCTGACAGATTTACAAGGAGTTGTAGCAACAGATAGAGAGCGAGAGAGAAAGAGAGAGCGAGAGAGAGAGAGAGAGAGAGAGACCCAGGCACCAGATACCCCCAGGCATTATTGAGAAGTGATGAGGGCCAGAGGAGTAACTCGAATAAAAGCAACTAGCTAATTTCGTTTTTAAATAGTATGCGGTGTTGCAAAAAGTACTAAACGGAATAAAATTTGCGGCTGCCGAATATTAATGACCTTCTCCTTTTTTTTGATTTGTTCAGCGACGTTGTGCGATTCCAACGCAACCTTCCTTTCTCTCTCACTCGCTCTCTCTCTCTCTCTCTCTCTCTCTCTCTCTCTCTCTCTCTCTCTCTCTCTCTCTCTCTCTCTCTCTCTTGCTCTCTCTCCCTCCCACACTCCCCCGTAATCTCGCCAGTTTACAAAATTGATCGTAATTTTCACGGTTTTTCAACTACTGAAATCCTCCCACTTCCGGTCGCCACCATCACCACCCTCCCCCCAGGCGCGTAGCTAATCGCCCAGTGTGCATCATTGATTCGAAATGATGGGATTTCGGAGGAGGCATCGTTCGATCCCCCTCCGAAATCAAATCCGGAGTGAAGTCCCTCTCCATCCTCTCATTCCAGCCAATTGCCTGCCATATTGGCTGTCTACAGGCTCCCCTCTCTCTCTCTCTCTCTCTCTCTCTCGATTTCTCTCTCTCTCTAGCTCTCCGTCTATCTCTCGCTCTCAACAGTCCAAATCACACATTCAAATAGCCCCAGGCTAAGGATGGGGGCACTTCCGGTGGACTGTGATTTTTGAAAGTTTGCCAGCCTGTTCACGATTCCCAAATGATCTCTGCTAGCCTGCCCCTGTCATTCCCAAATGATCTCTGCTAGCCTGCTCCTTCCATTCCCAAATGATCTCTGCTAGCCTGCCCCTGTCATTCCCAAATGATCTCTGCTAGCCTGCTCCTTCCATTCCCAAATGATCTCTGCTAGCCTGCCGTTTCCATTCCCAAAGATATCCTGCTAGCCTGCCCCTTCCATTCCCAAATGGTCTCTGCTAGCCGGCAGTGAAAATAACTAAATGTGCAGGCAAGCTAGCAGAGAATTTTTCCGAAAATTGCGAATGAAAAACAGCACTCAGTCTTCTCAGCCCCTTCAAGCCAAAAAATCCGATAGCCAGATGGCCAGAGATGGGTAAGGAGGAGAGGGTACCTCCGACTCGATTAACCTTTCGGGGAGGAGGCAGGCAGTGCGTAGGTCACTCTCCCAGTTACGGTATCTGAAGGGAGAGAGAGAGAGAGAGAGAGAGAGTGATGTGAGGAGGAGGGGAGTCCCTCCTCCTCTCATTCCACTACCCTCCAATCGTCACACCAGGCCACGCCCCCCGCTCTGCCCCCTTTTCGTGGAAGTGTTAACAGAGTGTCGGGTCGTCTCCTCCGGGAGATGCTCTTCTCCTTGGCCCCGCCCCCTTTTTGCCACGCCGCGGACACGAATAATGTGGTGTGCCTTTCGGCTTGTCGGAGCAGTTGGGGGGGTTGCTTGATATTCGAGCGTGATTCTGCTTTTATTGAACTTGATGGAGTACAGGATTTAATGTTTTTCTGATTTTCTGCATTTTCCTTATTACCATTCTCTGTATATCTACGTAATTTAATTGTAAGCCACCTAAGAGGCCCAGAAAATACCTGATTTTTTCGTCTGCAGGATAACTTGCAGAGTTTCTTTAGGAAAAGCTAAGGAATCTCTAGGCCCTCGAAACCCTTTAAAAGGTTTCCCTAAAAATTGTAACGTTCCCCAAATGCTTTCTGTTAGTTACCTCGAAAACCGGCGAGCCGATCGTTTTCCTAGGGCTTAAGCTTGGGCTTAGGCCTAGCATTATCTTGGCGTAAGCTTATGCTTGGGCTTAGGCTGCGTTTAGGCTTAAACTAATGCTTAGGCTTGCCTAAAAACAGTGTTATAGCGCCATTACTGTGGCTAGAAGCGGTTTTTACGTCTTATTTTTTCTATGAATTGCTGATAACCTGCTCGACTTTCCTCAAGAATCTCTGCTAGCTTGCCTCTAACTATGAGCCTATTAAAAGTTTCTCAAAGGATCGCTGCTACCCTTTTTATTAATGTTGCCTTACCTCCAAAACTGACCCTTGCTTTGCAGGCCCAAGTGTTTCCTAAGTGTTCTCTGCTAGCCTGCCTTGCGATTTGCGGTTTTCAAGCGATTTCCAACTGTCCGCATCCTTTTCCTCAAGAATCTCTGCTAGCTTGCCCTCTTAAATTTAAGGAAAAGTTTCCGTGCAGCTCCTTTTAACTCTCCCGAAGATGCTACCATTTTCCCATCGACTCCCAAAGTGTCCGACTTCCCCCCTACAATCCTCCCGATGCCCATTTTGCTGAACCCACAGAGACAGTCCCCCTCCTCCTCCTCCTCCTCACATTTGCATTTCCTGAATGGGCTCTGCTCGGTGTCTCTCTCTCTCGCTCTCTCTCTCTCTCTCTCTCTCTCTCTCTCTCTCCTGCTCCTTCTCTATTGCTCAAAGCGACGGTTTGGCGGACGAACGTGATTCTCCCAACAAGGCGAGCAAACCAAATCAAGAATGGGGAGGAGCAGCAGGGGGGACTGTGGCGGTGCTCTATTTTACACTCTATAAGGATTCGATCAATGCTATACTGGTTTTCGATTTTCCGACTTTTAAAGGGCCATCGAAGTCGGATTTTGGATGGCTCTGGAGCACGAGCTTTTCGAGCAGCTCGGCGATAGGTGCCATGATTCTATTAATGCACAATCAGGGTTCTTAAAGGCCTTTGGTAGTCACGTTCCATTAAAGGGTGAATCGTTATAGATTGCTTTTCATAGTTGTTGAGACGTTTAAAGGACCATTGAAGCCAGATTTTGAGCTCAAGACTATATGGATTTTACGGAAACCGATGCGCTAATTGGTTTAACAATCATCTTCGCTTAAAAGGTGTTGCGCTTGACAGTTTCTATTTTTTTAATTTCAAAATCCCTAGCGTTTTTTACTTATCTAAGCGTTTCCTAAATTCTTTCAAAGCCAGGCTTTTATCGAGCCCTATAAACTAAATTCCAAAATTTTCTCTGCTAGCTTGCCCTTACAACAAAAAACTGAGAAAATTCCGTGTAGATACGGTCCCTTACGGTAGCCTTTCCAACGTCAAAAATACGCTTCAAGCCCGATCCACTTTCCCAGCCCCCATTACGCACACGCAACTACCTTTTTCTAGACCTTTTTCCGGGTCTTTTTCAACCCCCTTTTTTGCTGTTTTTGCGGGCCGCCGCTCCATTGGTTTGCCCCTTCGAATTCTTTGTCTCCACTCGATTGGGCGCGGGCGGGGGTGCGCAACGAAACCACCTTTCGATACGGTAGGGCACTCACTCGGGCACTCGCGCGTCCGGGTCGACATTTTTGGGGGTTCTGGGAGGAAACTCGGTAGATTGTTGACATAGTAGTAAACCCAAATTTTTAACGGCCCTACCTCTGCTAGCTAACCGGAGCAAGCTAGCAGAGATTTTTTGCGGGAATAGGTCCCTGTGGCTAGCTGTCTATCTGTAAAAAAGCAAGTTAACGTAGACTTTGCTTAGACTTAAGCTAATGGCTTGAGAAAGAAGCTAGCAGAGATGCTTTAGGAATTTTTGAAAGACCAGAAAACATGTAAGGAAATTTAGCCAAACTTTTTCATTCTCACCATTCTCTCCTCTCTCTCTCTCTCTCCCTCTCTCTCTAGCTCTCTCTCTATCTCTACCTCTAAATCTCTCTCGCTCCGTGTTTGTCTTATACTCAGCCAACCGGCAGTGTTCCTTGAGGAATCCTACTTTTCCTCCTCCTCTTTCAGGAGAACAATATTTTCAGAACTCATGATGTTTTCGAATTTCACTATCTCTTTCTCTCTCTCTCTCTATCTCTCTCTCTCTCTCTCACTCTCTCTTTCTCTCTCCCTAACTTCAAAATACCATATTTTTTTTGCAGACCTCTATAAACGGGTGCCCCGGCGGTCGCCTTGCCCTTTCGTCCAAAATTGAGCTGCATCGCCGCAAAATGTCGCTGCCCCAACGATTGCCGGTCGCCACCGGTCAGTTTTTTCAAATTTCGGAAGCCATTAAACTGAAATTTAAATTATTGCATTCGTTAAGTCAGCACATCGTTATTTTCAGGACTCGACAAGGAGAAGGGCTCCCCGCTATCCGCCGTCTTCCCCCCGATGCCATTTTGCATGCCGCCCGTGTCTTCGGGGGCTTCGGTGAGGCTTTAGAGTTTATAATCAAATTTTTGGCACCTAGAAATATAATAAAACTTATTGATTGAGTTTATTAGAGCTTTAAAATGATATTTTTAAGGCGAAAAACGTCAAAAAATTGAAAATTTTAGTTTTATAAAATTTCGAGCCTAATCAATTACGATAGTTTAGTCTATTTATCAAAACTGGCTTTATTTAAGGAGTTACGGTATGTATTTAGCTGAAACAGGCAATTTTTATGGGATGTAGATTCGAAAAAATTCAAAAATTTGTAATTTTTTGAGTTTTAGACATTTTTTGAAATTTTTCTGTGATTTTCTAAAATTTAGGTGTAACCGATTACGCCATGTTAATCTTCGATACCTTAAGGTACTTCTAATTGCCCTGGTTGAAGTTTCAGGTGTTCCCGAACCCGCTGCTCTTCCCCCCAAACTTCCAGCAAATCTACGCCACCCTCATGCAGCAGCAATTCCTACAGCTGGCCGCCCAGCAGCAGCAGGCCAGTCCGGCGATGAGGAGTTCGGGTGGGTCATGGTTTAGAAAATATGGATTTGACGTAAAAAAAAGTAAATACCGCATATTTTTGAGGTTTTCAACAATGTGCTATAGTCCTAACCGGCAGCTAATCGAAAATGTGGATGATGTTGGAAATCATGACTTCTCAGCCCCGTTCAATAGTTAACCCGGCATTTTTCTCGTGAAATTTCATGCTCAAACTTGCCCTTCCACGCTCCCTAAATGTTGCCCTGACAAAGCCAGTCCCTTTTGGCTCTTTTATTGGTTTTCGCTGTGGGACCCAGGAGATGGGCGCCGGATGTTTGGATAGTAAAATCAATTAAGCGGAAGGGCATCGAAAGTAGTTGGCAACGTGCCAAGGTATCCGACAAACTACAGTTTTATTAAATTAACTGCTGTACCATTACCCTAAAACCTCGTGTATAGTTCCTCCCCGTGTATAGTTCCGGGCGAAAATACGAATCTTCCGTAATTCCGCATGACCGTAAACTGGTGTGTTTCGTTTTTTCGCGTTTTTGCGAATATCTCGGTTGGCGAGTGGAATTTTCGCGATTTCGTTTGAATTATTGATCGCATTTCGACTATTCCCAATATTTTAAGTGGTTTAATGAAAGAAATTCATGGTGGGGATCCTTGGCCTTATATAGCTTTTGCGGCGAATTGCCCCCTACGCACACTATTTGGTGTCAGGAGTATCCGTACGTAACCAAATTGTACCGGAACTATACACGAGGTTTTAGGGTACTTGAATTCGTATAATTAACAGTGTAATAAATATTGTATTACGTTACAGACCCATCACCGTCACTCTCCGATCGAGCATCCAGCGGAGCCGAGACGCCTTCTTCCAAAAGTGAGTTGACTCCGGTTTTTTAAGAGTTTTATAGAGGCACTAAAATTGGAAAAATAAAGGTTTAGCTCATCCCAAAATTTTCGGAAAAATGTTGTTATGTCGATACCTAGACATCTTCCTAAAAAACTCTCTTTTGGCTGTTTCCAAAGTTTTTCTGTCAGAGTGAAGAATTTCTGCTAGCTTGCCCCACTTTTAGCGAACTTTCCTCCAGGGTCTCTGCTAGTTTGCCACACTGGCCACTGGCCACTGGATTCCTAAAAATCTCTTCTGGCCCTTTCAAAACTCGATCTGACGAAATTCCCAAGGATTCTCTGCTAGCCTGCCTATCGCTGGCGATTTTAAACAAAAATTCCCAAGAATTTGTGCCAGCTTGCCCTTTTCTTCGCTTTATTTTCTTCGAATTCGGCAATTAGGACTTGTCCGACCCTTCCAGGCCAGGTGTCGCGTGGCTGGGGCTACAGTAACTCACTTCCCCCACTCCCCGCCATTCCTCTTTACTCCCTATGAAAAGAGGGAAAGAGCGACTGTGTCTTTTCCTTTTACAGGGTTGCGGAGTGAAGACAAGGGGTTGAAAGGTCTTCCGCCCAGAAATACCCCCACCCCACCCAGCCACACGACCACCTCAATTTCAATCGATCATGGGGGGAGCGAGCCCGAAACGGCCTTTTCCACCACAGGAATCGCGCACAACGGGCAGTCGTAAGGGCGGAATGTTGCGGAATCAAAGTGATCGGATTTAAGTGAGAAGGGGCTTGACTTGTGCTAGGATTTAGCTTAGGCCTAAATTGACTTATTAGGCCTGAATTAGGCTGGGATTAGGCGTTATCGATCAGTTTTTCCCCTCATATATCTACTTCTTCCCCCTGACCTTCAGCCCTGACTCAATGCTCTATGCACAATTCAAATTTGCATAAGACTAGACGATGCAGGTAGTGATGTTGGTGGTTGTGTGATGAAGGTTGTGACCGGGGAATGGGGAGAGATGGGCTTTTGAATGACTGGCTTCTACAGCAGGAAAGGTCATACCCAAAGCCCACCATAGTGTCCTGGCCATTAGTGTAAGAAGGCAGAAGCGGCGTAGAACAAAAACGTTGGGGAGACAGAAAAATAGAGTAGAGATGGGAATGATAAAAGAGGCTCTAGAGGGTTACTGTGGCCCGAAAAACCGAGTTTTTAGCACAATTTTGAGGGTTTTGTGAATTTCGGCGGCGGGTATCTTTAATTTCTTTAGGTCAAACTCCTTGAAAAAGTATTCGACTTCTTGATGTCTACAAATTTTCTCTTTTTACAGTATTAGTTGTGACAGCTTCGCTAAGGTGTAAATGACTGCATTGGAACATACTAGATTTCCTAGTTTTTTTTTGAAACCTGAGCTATCTACAGTACCGCCCTTGGCTGAATCAGACTTTTTTCATGACGTAATGCTCACCTCTACGACTTTCCAGTACCTTTAAAACTCGCAAAATCCGACTTCGTCGACATCACCCTCTTTTTTTGGCTTTATTCAAAGGCATGGTACAGTGCCTAAAGATCACGCTATCTACCGTACCTCCATAACCGACCTCATCAACCTACCGTTGGTGCAACCTTATGATCAATGACTTCTCAGTACCTTTAAGACCTGCCCCATCTACAGTACCCCAAGGTGTTCCTGCTATAGTCTCGGGCTCGCAAAGTGGCGCTCAACCTCCCCCTCCTCCACTTTCGAGGGGGTAGCCGTAGGAACCAACCCATAAGTTATCACCCCCATTCCGCCCATTCCGGGGGCTGTGTTGACAAGTCAAGCGGATCGAGATGGGGCTGCTGCTGGGTATGGTTGTCTTGTCCGATGCCTCCTCAATAGCGGATGGTACTCGAAAAAACCCGAAAAAACGTGGGCATTTGATGGGTGGTGGCGACACGACGACTGGCTGACTCTGAGCATTACCCCTCCAAACACCTCGGGGCATACAAAAAATCGGGGGTACACGACCGGGTGGGTAGGTATGAATGGGGCAAGGTGTTCCGCCGGGGGGTGATACTACGATACCGGGGGGGTGAGGGGGCTGGTTATGGGGTAGATCGGGGGGTCGGGGTATGGTAGCGTATACCTTTGGGGCTTGGGGTTAAATTAAAGGGAATTAAAGGGTTTTCTCATTCTAGCCAATAATAAGCCAAAAATCTTCTTAAGAATATCTAAAATTCAGGCAACCTGGCAGAGGTGATTGTGGAATTTCGAAAATTTTAGCAAAGAGTACTAGGGAATTTGCGCAATCACACCCCCAGTTTTCCAAAAACAATATTAATTTGAATTAGAGCGTATCCGTCGAGATCTAGCCGCCTTTAGGGGGTTGATTTTTTGCTTCCAGGGTCCCTTAAGAGCAACCGGAAGTATGACCACTAGAGAGACCATTTACTTTGAACTTTACTACTGTACGTTTCACCTCCACGACAACCTCAACTCGACCCAAACCCAATTCACCCCCTTCGACACCGTCCCCCTACCCAGTACGATCGTAAAGTTGTTTGCCCGGAGTATTCTTCCGGAATTCTGCCTCCCACCTTACCAGGGGGGGAAGATGAGCTCGTCTCGGGGCCGGGCAAACACTGCATCCCAGCCCATTTTACTGAAAGGGGGGGGGAGTCGAAATTTCCGGACGATCCGATAATCAGTAGGGATCGGAATAACAAGAAAAGTATGAGAAAATCTTCCCAAAGGAAGTCTGCTAGTTACCCAGGCCTCGAAATTAGGGAGTAGCTTCCAAAAGGACATTAAAAACTAACGCAGACGCGGAGATTCCTAAATGAAATTTGCTAGTTACCTTTGCAAATTAAAATATTCATCAAAAAAGGAAAATACTTCCAAAATCGTCCCTGCTAGATAGCCAGGTCGAAACTCGCGAATTTCCGGGGAACAAATTCTGATATTGATCGTCTGGCCAAAAGTGACCCGGCTTGTCAGAGAAGCCCAACGTATTCTCTCTCTCCCGCTCTCTCTCCTCTCTCCTCTCTCTCTCTCTCTCTCTCTCTCTCTCTCTCTCTCTCTCTCTCTGTCTCTCTCTCGCTCTCTCTTTCTCCCCATTTAACAATAGCCCCAACAGCCAGGTATTAGCCTCGTTCGCGCGTTCGTTTCGACGACGAGCTGAATGCGGTGCCTTCTGAGTCACAGCGCCGGGTTCGCCGGGGTGGTTGGGGGTGGTGAAGCGGTGTATTTCGGCGGCTGGGTTCGAGTAATAACTCGGGGAAGGGGAGTAGAAATTCAGGGAATAAAAATTACAGAAAATTGGATTTTCAAAATCCTTAACAAAAAAACACCGAGCCTTGACCTTGAGATTCACAAAAATAGCTTATTTCATGGCGTAATCGGTTAGCGGCTTCCGTTTTGTAAGCGCATTAACAGACGATTCTCCGTCGCCACTCACAAATAGAATTTTTGGTTTCGTTAAGGTTCTTACTAAAGACCTATTCAAATTCTAAGCTAGTCTAAGCTAGCCTGTCTAGACCTAGTCGATCTAACGGGTCGATTTTCGCTTTACCAACCCCTTTAAACCCCGGTTTCCGGTCCTCCGGAAGCCGATCCATCCGTGTTGTTGTTGAGAGCCAATGTTGTGTGAACAGTGAATATTGATGAGCAACCATTGCTCTTGCTCAAGTTTGTGCTCGAAAGACAGAGAGATAGAGCGAGCTAGACCTAGAGAAAACGATAAACTCCGCGCATCGCCCGCCAGGGGTGTGTAATTGTGACATGTTCCCCCCAATCAACACCCCCTCCTCCCCTCCCGTTGATCGTTTTGGTGTGTTCACACCAGCCCGCAGCAAATGCTAGGGTAGCAAAGTGGCTCTACGGGCTGATGTAGATTGGGATGTAGATGCGAGAGAGAGAGAGCGAGAGAGACAGACTGTCAAAAAGTGCGGGTTGTGGTGCACCTCGGGGTTCCTCGGGAAAAGGTTAAAGGGGGAAATGGGCTGCACATCCACCATTTGAATCGTCTCCAGGCCAGTACTAGGATGGGAATGTCTCGGGAGAGGATCGGCTGGGGAGTAAAGGAGGAGTTACTAGCTCTTAAAGGGACCGGTAAGTGTGAAATCGGCCCTGGATAAAGTCCTCCTTACTTTAAAGGGCCTGGCAAGTCAAACCCATGGGTATTGGGGGCCTAAAACTTTTAAAGGGACCGGAAAGCGAAATTCTTCCTATCTGACGGACATGAAACAGGCAAAATCTCGACGATTTAAATATTTCTGGCAAATTCAAGGAACCAGCAACGGAAAATCCATAATTCCTAACGATTTCTAGAAACGGGGAGCTAAATTCATGTAGTTTTGGCACTTTTTTAAGAGAATTTTCCCGATTAATCCCGATTTTCCCACTTTTTTGAACGCTACCGGGGAGCAGCCACCCCCGGCTACTAGCTAACAACTCCACGACACGCCTATCAACATTTACGGCCCGTCGATTTATTCCCGGGTTCCCACGCCGGTTACGACCCCCGGGGAAGACAACAGAATCCCTGTATTACTGTCCACCCCAAACAATCGAGCGGCCACCGTAAATTGGCCTCCCACGGACTCGACAAACCCGGGGGGGGCAGGCGGCTGTGATCGGCTACGCAACACGACGCGTTTACGGTTCACACCTGCTAACGAGCGTTGCAGGGGGGACAATAGGAGTGATGTTTAAACGGCTAAGGGGTTCAAAAATAAAAAACTATAGATTCGCGTCGTTTTCTTAGGGTTTTAAAAGTATTCTAAGGCTGTTGTGTAGCACAAAAAGTAATATTTTTCTATAGATTTTCTATGGTTTTGCATAGTACGCAATAAAGAATCGTTGCGCTCAAATTCTTGACTCCCATTTCTGGGCTTCCAGGCCCGTTAAAAATCCGGCTACCCCGCTACGTTGGCTCCTATTGACGCCTGATGACCACCGCGGGTGATAGTGCACCCCCAGGCTGGGTTGAAAATGTCAGTAGGGGCTGGTTGGGTGCTCCCCGACCCGACTCATGTTTTTTGACCTTTCATTGTCT